ACATCTTTGCTTGGGCCGGGCTTTTTTGTTGTGGGAAACTGCTTTGCAGTCCTTTCGAACAGCCCAGATCGGTTGTAAAGAACTCTCCATGATTAACCACCACAGGACCTCACCAATGATGTTTCGCTTCCAGCATTATCGCATGGTTTTGCAAGTCTTGAAACATGATGGCGAAACTCAATAGCCAGCCCTGGCGGCTAAACCCGTCTCTGAGTCGGTGCAGATGTTGACACTCAGGGGAGGTTGCACGAGTGTGTGTGTGTGTGTGGGAAACCCTGTTCCATGTCCAATAGAAACAAAGCAGGGGCCAGCGGAGAGGCAGGTAAGATGAGTGTGTGCACGGGCCAACGAAGACCGCGCACCCATCTACTTGTCTTCTCGTGTAAACGTACCTGCGATTTTTCTGTAGTGGCATGGGGCTAAGCCAAGAACCCCACAGAGTCTTTTGATTCTGCATGGCAACCAGGCAAAGCCGTAATCCTGGAATGTCGATGAACACCCTTTTAACTGTCTATGCGGCTTCAGATCTTCAACTCTGTAAGTAGATTTACGATTCAACAAAGACAGGCCAGAGGGAGGACTGCACAAGAGAGTGTGTGTGTGTGTGTCGTGTGTGTGTGTGTGTGTCGTGTGTGTGTGTGTCGTGTGTGTGTGTGTGTGTGTCTGTGTGTCGTCTGTGTGTCGTCTGTGTGTGTGTGTGTCTGTGTGTGTGTGTGTGTGTCTGTGTGTCTGTGTGTGTGTCTGTGTGTGTGTGTGTCTGTGTCTGTGTGTGTGTCTGTGTGTGTGTGTGTGTGTCTGTGTGTGTGTGTCTGTGTGTGTCTGTGTGTGTCTGTGTGTGTCTGTGTGTGTCTGTGTGTGTCTGTGTGTGTCTGTGTGTGTCTGTGTGTGTGTGTGTCTGTGTGTGTCTGTGTGTGTCTGTGTGTGTCTGTGTGTGTCTGTGTGTGTCTGTGTGTGCGTCTGTGTGCGCGTCTGTGGTGTGTGTGTGTCTGTGTGTGTCTGTGTGTGTCTGTGTGTGTCTGTGTGTGTGTGTGTGTCTGTGTGTGTCTGTGTGTGTCTGTGTGTGTCTGTGTGTGTCTGTGTGTGTCTGTGTGTGTCCGTGTGTGTCTGCGTGTGTCTGTGTGTGTGTCTGTGTGTGTGTGTGTGTGTGTGTGTGTGTGTGTGTGTGTGTGTGTGTGTGTGTCTGTGTGTGTCTGTGTGTGTCTGTGTGTGTCTGTGTGTTTGTGTGTGTGTATATGTGTGTGTGTGTGTGTCCGTCCGAGCCGAGTGGCAACGCGGCCGATGTAGCGCAGAATGGCGCGGCTTTGAGCATATGCTTTACCGTCCTGGGCATGTGCGTTTCGCGCTTGACACCGCGATCCTCCAACCCAAAGTGCACTAATGTCCAAAGAGCGATGGTCAGGATGGGCAAGCCGGTGGCATCTGGCGCATACCTGAGAACGAGAATCGCCAGCGCTGAGCATCCTTGAGGAGCATGTCGCGTCTGGCCAATTGGCAGAATGGACCAATGTCCAAAGCCTAGTGGCGGGTGCAGTGCCACCTTCCTGTCGTTGAATTTCTCATCATTCTTCGGCGTAGTGTCCTGAACACACTCCCTACGAGCAACACCCAACTGAAGCTCAAAAAACCGCTCCTTGAAGGGAATGCCACCGATGATGAAAGTCAGCCTTGCACCAGAAATCTCGTCCGACGCATCTTGCAAATGTATTGGCACCTGATCGGCTCACCCAGACCGGTGATGGGCCAGTAGAAGAGCTCGTACTCGGGCATCCTGGGATATCCTGAGCCCAAAAATTGAGAGTTAAGAGCTCATACTGCCATGCAGGGTTCGAGGCCTCCAACAGATGTCAGCTGAGGCACTTCGGTGCGAGGCAGCTTCGGCAAAGACTCGCTCTAGTGCTGAGACTCTTGGACCAACAGGGACGGGCAGCGGCGAGTCAAAGAGCATCTCTGGCCTACGCTTGAACAAACTGCTCTCCTTCCAGATTTCTCCGTGACTGCATGCCCCTCGACGTGCAGGTTCCGTGGATGCTACATGTACTGTATCCCGTCAGGCCTGTCGACTGCCTTGACAGAGGTGTCTGCACGCCTGGGCAACCAGTGAACTTGTCTGAGAAGGCATGCCCGGCTCATCGTCTCCGGCCTCTGTGTGTCGTCGGGCGCTGCTTTGGCTTTGCAGAGGCCTTCGCTCCTGGTCCTGGTCAGCTCGCTTCCAGAAGCAGAGCAAAAACCTCCTTTTGCCCCGCTCCCCGCCCACTTCGCCCCAACAAAACAAAAAACACGAGGCACCCTGAAGCGTTCGCTCGCTATCTCTCTCTCTCTCTCTCGCTGCTCTCGCTCTGGGCTCCTTTCAAGGCGAGGCCCAGGCCTCACTGCTCGGAAGACAAGAAAGCTGTCACAAATCCTGCCCTTTCCCTTCGCGGAACCGAGGAGAGTGCTGGAAAGGAGCTGGCGTCGCTCAAAGTCGAGTGCCTTCGAGCTGGCCTCCTGTTCTTCCCAACCTCCAAGCTGCTTTTGGCGAAGAAGCCTTCAAGCCTCTGAGAGGGACTCTCAGACTCTCTAAGGCTATGGCTTTGTGTGTACTGGTCCACGAGCAGCTGTGCCGTCGCGAAGCGCTCCGCCAGCTCACGCCTGGCACTCACCACGGCATCCTTTTGCATTTGAGGCCGGCGTCTTTTCAACTACCGAAAAACCTCAAAAACCATCAAACAATATCCGGTCATCATCGCCATCACCAGCCCCACCATCATCGTCGTTGTCCTCCGCCGTCTTATGTCCTCCTCCTCCCCCTCACCATCACCATCATCGTCATCATCATCAACATCGCCCGAATCCACATGACCCTCATATTCTTCGGCCTAGCCTCTGACCCAACTGCTCCGCCGACCACCCCCAGCCTCTGCTTTTGCTCCGTCCTCCGTCCTCCTCCTCCTCCTTTCCACACGGCCGCCACCCTTCCCCACACCCATCCTGAGCATCACCTCAGTCCTTGTCAGTATCAGTTTGCTTGATGTCATCGTCGCGGTCGTCGTCGTGGTCTTAAGGGAACTTCGCACAATCCAGTTTCGGGGCTGCAGAATGGGTTTGCGAACCACCCAATAAACCGTTGGCCACAAATGCTAGCCCCAAGGCTGTCCAGAACGCAGAACCAGCATTTGAGAGCGCGTGAAACCCTCAAGATGCAATCCTAAGCTTGCGACGTGTGTCTGGGAACTACCCAGCTCCCCATAAGCCAAACCCTGAACGGCTAAACCGCTCTAGCTTCCCCTTCTGCTGCAGGTCAGGAGACCTTCAACTGCCACGGCTTGCCTGATACGTTCATTTCTAACCTAAGCAAGGGGGCTTCTGGGCTGGGATTCCGGGAGTAAAAATTAGTGCCGAGAACTCGGCAAAAAGCCAAATCGGAAAGGGCACGGTTCGTGATGTGCCGAAGCCAAACGCTGCCCTTGCGCCCGCTGTCTTTTCGCGACGTGTGTGGGTCACGTGGCGACGGAGTCGGGAAGCCGAGCCAGAAAAGGCCTAAGTCGAGTCCGAGGAAGGGGCAAGGCGAGTCGAAAAATCGATGAGGAAGAGGCCGAATCGGAAATCCCACTGCACGCAAACCCAAACCCTAAACCCGATTTTTCGAGCGGTTCCCAACTGTCGGACTCGCAGCCCCTTTCCGCGACTCCCGTCCGCCGACTAGCTACGCTGGTTCCCAGCACGGACCCAAGAGCAACAGACATCCAGCCTCCCTTCCGCAGTTTGGTTCTCTCCCAGTTCTCTCCCAAGCCTTGAATCAAGGATGCAAGACTGAGTAGCTCGGTCGCAGTGGATCTGAGCCCTTGGCTCATCCAGCTCTGTGCGGAGTGCCGTGGCCATCTCGTCCTTGCTTTCCTGTCACTTATGGCTGGATGAGGCCGGCCGGGTACATCCAATACAAAAGCTTTCGGTATGTAGTAACAAGAGGAGCACAAACAGATTGAGGGAGGCAGCAGAAGTTTGAGTGCTTGAGTGCATACCAACACTCCCGCGCAAAGACTTCTAACATGTGCATCTCGGATACAGGACGCAATCCAACCGATTCTGATGCCTCGTTTCTCGCAGGATGCGTGAAGACCTTGGTCGGTCGATGTGAGGACTAGTGACTAGGAGAAGATAGATGTATTGCAACGGTTCCCACCGTCTGTGGCGCCGACTCGTCGACACGTCGAGGCAAAACGAAGTGCGGACTCCTCGGAATCCATCATCAGCAGTGCTGCACCGTCATTCCCCGTGTGTTTGCGTCGGACATACGACGCTCAACGTCTGCCAAGGCACTGTCGAGGCCTCGGGACTTCAATTCAGCATACAACTACGGCAAACTGCTTTTCCATGCCAACTCGTGCTGACTTGTGCATGCAACTGCAGATCGAAATTGGAAGGGCATCTTTTTCGAAGAAGCTTTGATGTCTGCAGTATTCATCAACTGGCGGCGAGACCTCCAGACCCTAGAGTTGTCGAGTGATGCTGCCCTCGTCCTTCAGTGCATCAGAAGTGGCGCCTGCAGAGCAGAGGTTGGTGCGACGCGACTTTGTGTGAAATGCCGAAAGTGGCGTGCGAGGTACGACGGGGCGGCTAGAGTTTCTTCTCTTGCGCTTTAGCCTGCAAGCCCTTCTGTATGTTCTCTCATTGCTTGCTGCACGAAGTGAGAGTCACGGCCGTTCGATTGACAAAGACCCTGTCAACTCACGCTTCCCTTTTCTGAAGGCCCTAGAAAAAACTGGTGAAAGTATGCATACAGTCATGATTGGCCCAAGCTTCTGAAGATTCCCTGGTTTTTTGGGGCCATGTCAGCCCGTCCTTGCTGTATTCGCTCGGGTGCGTGAGGCGGAAGACCACCGCTGCAAGGAGACCTCACTTAGAAACAATCACTCTGATCACCCTGGAGCCGCACCGCTAGTGAGAAGAGCAGCTCGTGAATGCAATGTGAAGAATTCTGCAATGACACCGAGCACTTAGAAGTCAAGCTCTTTCTGATACGAATATATGACCAACACTTGCCAGGTTGGTTCTTGGTGAATGCATCTAACCAAGTCATTCGTGTCACTCAACCCGGCCTCCTGTACACTGAAACGCAGTCAGCTTGAGGCAGAAAGCCAGGAGCAAGTGCCGCTCCTGCAGAGGGCATACACTCTGCAGAAGCCTGATTTAAGCAGTGCCTTCCTTCACATTTGGACGCATCGCTAAGCTTAGAGTCTTCGGGGCTTGAATTATTGCAGCCACTTCCGACTGTGCATCAGGAATATCTTTTGAAGCTCCTGTGCCTTCATGAGTCTTGTGTTTGTGAGATCTCTCCGTAAGCATTTTGCGCCAGCTGAGCTAAGGCACGGCACGATCACAGTCACAGTCACGAAGCACGCCTGCGCGCTCTGCTCTTGGAACAAGTTGAGCGTGACGACTCCAACCTCGGCAAGGGAAGAGTGCTTTTGCATCTTTGCATGTGCAAAGTTGAGCTGGTCCAGAGTCCAGAGGCCCCTGCAGAGACGGCCGGATTCAGCATCCCACCGGACACGGAGCCAAGAGTGCAGCCGCCGGTCATGACACAGAAGCCCACCGCCAGGCCAAAGTAGAAGTTCTGTCGTGTCTTACTGGCAGGGAGCACGGTCACGGTGGAGCACGCGAGTACAACATAGGCCAACCTCGGCTCGTGTGCCGAACAGCCAAACTTCCGCCATGTGTGCCGGGGTTCTTCTACGAGCGGTCAATGCCGGTCTCTGCAGGCAGGTGTCACCAGCGTGAAAACACCTTCTGCGATGCCAACCTGCACTCCGAAAAACTAGGGCTTGAAGCTGAAGGTTTCGTTGGAAAGCTAGGTAGCAGGCTGTGGCCACCCCATACTCCTGCCTCGGAGTAGACATGCCACGGTATGCCGATTCTTTCGTGACACTGAGGCTGAAGCCAAGAAGGCAATGTCACAGGTCGCCAGGCCGTTGGCGCTGCAAAACGGTACTCCTAGGAAGCAGTTCCAACATGTTCCAACTGCACCATACTGTTTTCTTCTCCCACCGCACCAGGCCAAGGTGCTGCAACTGTGACACCCGCGGCAATGGCACCGACAGCCTCGCGAGGCAGGAATACTACAAGTGATTCGCTGCAGATGTCTGTGCGAATCAACCCTGCTATAGAGTGAATACTCCCACAGGTGGTGGTGCTCCGCGCAGTTTGCCTGAGCTCCGCAGTAAGCGAATCCATCGCCGACGGAACATTTGCTGCCTCGGACAGGAAGTATGGTGCCGGAGACAAAGTAAAGGCAAACTCTGGCAAACTCTAGATGAGACATTGCCAAGCCACGTCCGCTCAAGACCACTGCTAGAGTCACCGCAGGGTTGAAATATCCCCCAGAAATCTTTCCTGAGAGGCAAGCAACCCAGAATTTTACTTGCTCGACAAGAGCTCGTTGCTCACATCGGTCCCATCAAGACGGAGCGCCCAGAGCGTAGATCATGCTTATTAGAGCAGCTGCTGCTGACCAGGCTGTTGCCTTTGTCGAGCCATGTCAAGCCAAATGTCTGTCTGCAAAACACAAACATCCGCGAGCCTCCGATTGACCGATCACGTTAAGACCGAATGTGAAGACCTTTTGAAACAGTCACAAGAAGGAACTTGGACCGCACTGCATGTCTCGCCGAGGGATTGGCAAGAGCAAAGGTACCCAACCTTGTGGTAACGATGAAGAGCGCGGCAGTGCATGCAGCAAGCGGCCGCGAAATGAAGAGACCGGGTTGGAAGACTTTCAAGGCCAAGACACCCTTCACCGAGCAGTCGGGCTGACAATCGCGGCACGCACATTTCTATGTACTCTTCGATGTCGCAGCAACAATCCTGCAAAAGAAGAGCCAAGCCCACAAGGCTGTATTTGACTCTCCCGCCGTCCTCGGAACCGGCCCTCAGGATAGCAAAAAGGCGTACGCCGATGAAGGCCCCAAGCAGCTCTGCCACGACGTAGGCGATACCGAACCTCTGAACAATGAGGTGATCTATAGGTGGAGCCCTATAGCCACATCGATGCAGGGCACATCACGGTCGAACCGTGGCTGATGAAGGGCAGGCCCAGCGCTATGGCCGGATTTAGGATCGCTCCACCTTTCGCATTGCAGGGGATGGGCCAAGAGCATCTGTGGACGCCTTTTCCGGAGCGAACTGCCGTTCGGCGCTCCCTACATTGTGCCCGAGCTTTGCCTGATATGGGTGCCAGGGCATGTCCTCCTGCGATCGATGCTCATGCTCTCATAGGAATATGAAGGAGTCTCAAGCAGAGTGTACTTAGCATAAGTACATGACAGTACATGCTCTCTGTCAGCTAGACGCCACTTCAACGAGCAGCCCGAGCGATTTTAAGGCGCTTCCTCGTGTGACCGAACTCGCTACACTTTGGCGAGGTTGCAGCCTCCTTCGCTACAGCACCTTATGAGACTAGGATTATCTCTTCTGCACAGGATGGGTGTCGGGAGAGAGCTGCTCAGTACGTTTGTGCCACTCGTATTTCGCGAGTGCTCGGCACTTCAGGTCCACTGTGAACATCCAGCAACTCCGGGACTTCCAAATGCTGCACTTTGCTGAACTTCCAGATCAGCAAGTGGCTTACAACGACGAAAATGCCAGCAAACTCTTCCAGCCAGAACTCAAACTTTTTGATAAGCAGCGCGGGACCCGACGCGGAGTTAACCAAAACGAAAGGTCCGTAGACTTTCGGAATCAGAAGGTCCACAACCTTGTCTGTGGCAGACTCATTGCCCATGTGGTATTTCTCCTCAAACGCCGTAAGAGTCTTCTCCCATTCGTCCACACAGCAAATGCCGAGTTCCTGCGCATATGAGTACACGGTGCCGCACAGGAAAAAACTGATCGTGGTTAAAACACCGCACACCACACAGATGGTGCGCAGAATGCGCTCTTGCCGTTCCAGTCTGTCCCAGAGTATCCAGAGAGTGCAACTTTCCATGAAGTTGTAGCCAGCAACGTAGAGCGCGGCTCCGAAGGAGTGCACACTGCAGGCCAGCTTGATGGCGGTGTTTTGCCTTGCAACACGGGGAACCACTGGGATAGTGGCAACGATAAGCATCCCACAAGGGGGAAGCACTGCCCGGGCAGCAGTGAGCAGCCGCCGCGTGGGACTTCCACCCGTGTAGACATTTTTCAGCTCCCAAGGGTAGCGCGAGAGAAGTAGACTAATGGAGCCGATCAAAGTGAAGCTGAAGAAGAGCTTTGCTGCGGGAAAGTCTGGCTTCGACACCATCTCACTTACCGTTTCAGCATGGTAACTGCGTCCCGACGGGCACACGTTGTGGGGAAAGCACGCATATTTCATCTCAAAGCCACTGATGGAGTTGAAATTCCCAGCCAGCGTTGCTAGAGCTATGGATGTCAACCCACAAACAGAACCCAGGCATAGCATTGCTGCTGCCCACCTGCGGTTCAAAATGTCAATCCGATTTGCACCGTGCGCCAGGCTCTGGCTGCTCTCTACAGAAAAAGATCGCATCGTGGAAACTTCGAAGGCTCGCATTGGCTAACTTTTCTTGGGCCAAGATGCACGCCTCGGTAAAGAAAGTACAGCCAGCTGACACAATCCCTTAAGACAAGAACCCTGGCATCCTTGCATCGCGTTAGCTATTACGAAACCTTAGAAAGTTATGAAATGAAATTTGGTGTTTACATGTGTCAACGGATCATGTTAGGATGGCGACTCCTGCGACGTAGAGGAGACCGATGGCAAGTCCGAAGGACTGGCTCTGGTCGCGCTCCGGATTGTTCCGCTTGGACACCAAGCAGCAGCTGACCAGAAAGCACAGTAAGGTCGTGTAAATCAGCTCGGCCAAGACCGCAGCACCCAGGTTCGGTGGAACGGGAGCCGGAGGCCAAGGGGTATGGGCCATGTCCATGCCCAGGAGGGCTCGCAAAGCTGTCGCTCCGGCCATTCCTGCTGCCACCTGAACCAACCAGAACCCTAGCATTCTTTGCCAGGGTATCAGGCCCAGAGCACTGAGGGTCAATGACACCGCAGGATTCAGGTGACCTCCAGAGACCGTTGCAGTGGAGTAAACCATGACTGTCACAATGCATGCCGCCGCTGTCGGCTTGTACAAGTATGGTGCTGGCGACAAGGCAACGCATCCGAAAGTGAAGACTAGAATGCAGGTCCCGACGAACTCGGCCATGTAGGGAGCAAAGGAATACTCATTTGACCTGTCTTTGGCGGTGTTGTTCGTCTCTTCGCCATCTATGGAGCCATAGCTTGGCGATCCTTGACGCCCTGCAACCAGCTGCTCCGCAGGGCCTCCGACTCCGGGATCCATCGCACCGGCACCATTCACGGCTACGGCGGCTACGGCGAGTCTTCCAGCACGGGATGGGTTACTGCACACTGGATCCAGGATTGATCTAAAACTTTCGGTTGGATGGAAACGGTTCGATATCTGAGTGGCTGCGTGCATTGCGAGAGGTGAAGGCGCCGTGGCGGCTGTTTGGCACTGTTTGGCAGCATGCAAACACGAAGCTTCGGGGTACCAACCACAACCGACGAAGCCGGAGAGACGCAGGCCACCATGACGGTCCTGTATCTTGGGTTTACTTGGGTTCAAACAGCAGACATGTCGCCAAGGCGAAGCTTCCTGCAGTTGCCAGTCAAGGAGTCGGACAGCAGGTGCGTGAGCTTGCTGTTCCTGGCAGCTAAAGGACCGAGAGCTCTTCAAAGCAGAACAGCTGCAGCAATCAGCTCTCTTTTGTCCTGCACGGAATATGACCTGATGCCCACGGTGCTAGCACTGCCAGACTCGCTTGCCATGCGCAGCAAGCAAAATCGAACCCGGGCTCGGCTCGACACCCACATGATCCTGGACGCACCAATCTCACAAGTGCCCATGCACATGCAGCACAGTCCAACCTGAGAGGAGAGGCGCTTGATGACCAGTCCAAGTGTCAAAAGACCTCTAGCAATGCAATGATGTGCTAAGGTGTGCCAATGCAGGGACGACCTGACGAGAGTCTTCAACTTCCGCTCTTGGATCAAGGCTTGTGTTGATCTGTCGGCTCTCACGCTGCCGCACCTGAAGAGTCTACACAGGTACATGGGAAAGGAAGCGGGATGTTCGGTGAGATCCTGGTATAGCCGACTCTGGAAGCTCTGGATTTGAGGTAAAGGCTTTCTTGCAAAACTCAGCTTGAGCCGTCCTACGTTTTACCACTTCAGGTGCTCAAGGCAAGGCCACTGCCCCAGTGCATTCGTTGCTTGTGCTGCTCGGATAGGGTTTCGGGTTTTCGGGTAGTCCTACGTAGGGTTGGGAAGGGCAGCGGAAGCTCCGGCACCCCCACCACCTGGAACTCCCGTAAGATGTCCCCCCCTTCGCCCCTCGATGCCCCTCGTCTTTGAGGGAACTCCGCTGTGCAGCTTGACATCATCGTTTGGGGTGAGTTTCCTAAAGCAGGCATGGCAGGATCAAGCCAATCATGCATCATCACAGTTTCGCGTGCTCACAGCACATGCCGAAGCAAGCTTGATCTGAAGGTTCTGCCTGCCCCGTTTCGGCTTCTGATTACTTCATGGTGTAGGCAACGCAACCTGCCGGAGTACTTGTTTCCATGGCACTCATCATGATGTCGACCCGGGTGAAACTGAACTTGAGACCAAATTGGAGAGCAGCTGGCGAAGCACTCATGGATCATCCAAACTCTGCTAATTTGTGAACCCGAACATCGCCAAGGCTGCCAGCTCCAAATACCACACAGCGTACTTTGCACGCAAGTGGTGTGCATTGACAAAGCTGAACTTGCTTTCAGAAGTAGCCGGTTGTTGCCTCCGCTGGCACTGGCTGGCAGGCACGAACACAAATGCGCCACCTTTCTATACTTGAGCTCGTGGCCGATCTGCTAAGAGTTCGAAGTTGAAGTTGGTACGTTCCCCTCGTCGTCCTCGGCACAGCAAAATGGACAAGGGGGGCACGGCCAAGATCTGCGCACCGCTCAATGAGCTTTTGCAACCTATCAGGTGGGTCGGCGGTCTGTACCGCTGCCGACTACCACAGTGACAGGCACTGGCTGGCTGGGAACTAGGATGCTCTGGACGCAGACAAAGGCAAGCCGGGCTAAGCAATGATAAACCCGTAAGTACAAAGGGTAGCACAGCACGACCGAGACCGGCGCTTGTCTATCGCTTCACTGTCGAAGGTCTTGTAGGTGCCGGGACCAGGCATTTCCTTGGAGACCAATCACGCAACAAGCACCCTTCCTACCATTCCGACTTTCTCAAGGCCAAGCCGCTCTCTTTGTCCTGACGTCGATCCACTTTTCTTTCACGACCTGCGAGCCGTGCCAAGGATCAGAAATTCGGTTACGTTGTGCTTCAGGCGACCTTGTCCAGGAAGTTGGAGGCCTTTTCCTTCGGGACAGTATAGGTTGCCTGCTTGTCCGTCACCTGCACAGCATGCCAACTTCAGCTTGCACTTCACATTATTGGAAGTAGACGCATCCTGCCTGGTTGTAGTTGATGGTGTAGTGGTTGGGTGCCTCGGACACTGGCAACTGCGCCAGGGCTTGCAGTTTAAAGCAGTAACACCACAGAGAGACCTGTCTACCCAATGATCTGCATAAGGCCTCGACGAGTGTTTTGTCGGGTGCTACTTTGCCAGCGGCGGCTTCTTCCACTTTCCAGCTGGTGACACCGCATGGGTTGGTATTCAGGCCTTGGCGCAGCGAGTGAAGGTCGTAACAGCACAGCAGGATTCACTCTTAGTGTTTGCAGATGTCTGCGGACTCAGCAACTTGCATGCTGCCGCAATCACAAGAGATTGCCTTCCAATTAGGAGACAAGAGGCGGTTAGCACACACTTGCTTGTTGGTGTAGTGTCCGGGCGCCGGTACCTGCCATGACGATCTGTGAAAATTCTGAAAGCCTGTGCACCGCACCGTACAAGCTCTGAGCTCTGCCTCCTTCCCATGGCGCATTGCCCCATCCAAGAACGACCGCCGGTTCCCTCCAAGGCTTTTTTCGCTGGCAATGACACACTGATCTGTGTGTTGCACTATTGGCACCGGTCCGCCTTTGGGAACTCGGCCAAAGACTACGCGGCGGTTCTGAGACAAAGAGTCCTCGACATGATCTGGCATTCCCACGTCGGCTCCCGGACGCTAGATTCCTTACTGTTTTCAAAACTTCGCCATGCAACAATGTCACTGTTCGTTGGAGCCAGCAAAAAAATCACACACCTGGCGCTGCCCATTCCCAGTCCTTGCTTCGGTTGCTCGGGAACTGAAAGAAGTCCTGACACTGCATCATGCATCTCTCTACATCCATGCTCGTCGACATGCAGGATAGTTCAGGCCTTGCGCTCGTAATGCGTCGGATCGGGATTCTTGTGCATCGGCTTGTACCCACTCTCCTCTTCACAAAGGCTCCGGCCCTGCAGTGAATCCAAGACTGTGAGAGATCGCCGGTGTGTGGAGTCCTTCTTGGCAAACTTGCTGCCACCGTTCAGCCTCCAGTCCTGGGACGAAGACCAGACAAAAGCACCACTGCCCGCTGCGCTGACTCCGCGCCTCGTGGCCCATGTACTTGCCAGGACCGGGAGCTTTCTGGGCCTCGGCAGCTGAGTCCACTGCGGTGATGCAGAAAAGATGATGCGCCGTTCCTACGCTGCAGTACGAGTATATCACAATCTTCATCCTCATAGCGTGAAGAAGGCAACGTGAAACTAACCGAAGCCTGATATTTCAGACGTGCTGCCGCTTTCTGGATCTGGTTGATTCTGCTCGAGAAAGTTCCGTCATCCTGCTCATGTCATCGTTCGACATGATTCCTGAAAGCCCGAACCTTCACACCCCAACATCGCATGGTCGCAAAAGGCGCTCAGATGCGCTTGTCCTTGGACATGGCTCCATGCGTCACTCGTTTGGCAAGTCCCGTGTCGCCTGACGGAAAACTCAAAGGACAGTATTCTCGCTCTCCTCTCGTTCCAGCCAGGAGGGATGCACCCCTGCTCCACTCATTGATTCACTGTCTTCTTCTTTCCTCCTGCAACTGGGAGACTTCTTCTTCTCATGTGCTTGGACGGAGTGCGATTTGCTGCAGATGTTGGCTTCAGTCCAGACTCACCATGCTCTCAAGATCGCACAAGTAGCTACCAGTACTTACCCTGTCAATGCTCCGAGCGGTATCCAAGCCCAGCGACGCCTGCAGACAGTAAGCTCCCTCGGACATCTCAACCTATCCGAGCAAGCCGCTACCCTCACAATAAAGGCTCTGCGGCTGTCTGTTACTTAATTTGCTGTCCTCCGTTCTTTTTACTTTTCATAACGTGCAGGAGTGAGGATCAGCGCAAGGTCACGCCACTATTTGGTAGCGAGCGAGCGAGCTAGAGAGAAAGAGAGGGAGTGAGAGAGAGAGAGACACAGAGAGATAGAAAGACAGAAAAACAGACCGACAGACCGGCAGAACAGATAGAGAGGGCCACAAGCCGCTCCGGCCGAGTCTCTCTTTTTTCTCACAAGGGCTAAGAGTGAGGGAGCGACGCTCACTCCTGCACTCCACGCGCCCCCCAATTTTTTGTGGGGCGTGTCCAACTGCCAAACTCAGAGGGCGAAGGAAGGCTCGCAATGCAACCACTCAGGAGACGTCCGTCTAAGGTGATCAATATGCGAACACAAATCGAGAGGTCTTCGGCTTCGGCTTCGGCTTCGAGGGTTGAGTCCGCCAGGCGGACCCGGGCCTTAGGCCCCCCTCTCCCCCACGCGGTGGTGGTAGAGAAGGCTTGTGGGGTCAGAGGTCGGGAAACAAAGACAAAGGTTTGTGTGAGCTGTGGAGTTTGCCTGGCAGGAACCCCCCCCTAACCCTGAACTTTAGCCCGCGTCCCGGCCTCAGCGCCGCGCCCCCTAGGGCTAAGTCCTAAGTTCCTGCGACAGGCAAAATCCCCCACTATGGTCTGGCAAACGGTGGTCGCCTCCCAAAAAACCACAACACTCTAAGGGCCGCGCAACGACTATAATGTAGTAAGAACACAGTTGTGGGCTGACTCCCCCGTTGCAAAAGCTTCCATCTAGGTTTCTGTTGAAAAGCTGAGCGAAAAGGTCATCCCCCAAAGTGGTGCCGGCAAGTCTCTGACGCAATGCCAATTTGTGCAAGTGCAAGGGCGTGTGGCCCTGTTGGTAGTTAGTCGGAATGGCTCCAGCGGCCCGTCTTGAATTAGGCTCATCATTGTAAGCTCGCAGAAAGACTGTTGAAGAAACTTCCCCCGCTCATTGCTTGTAGGTCACGTCGTGGTATCACCCCGCATATGCGCTTGTACACGTCTCACAGCATGCCACATGGGTCCAGGTAGTAGTCGGACCTGGTTGGGGTCGCGTTGTGTGCCCCCCAGTCGTCTTTCCCCACCTCGTCCTCGGTCTCGTTGTCTTGGGCTGCGGCTTGGTAGCGATGGTCGCGCCCCAGCATCCGTGGGACTGTTCGAGCCCCCCACGGTGCTCGGCTTTTCGGTTGTCGTCGTCTTCTCCTCGTCGTCGCCCCAGTCCACTTCCTCTTCTTTGAAGCTCTCCGTGGCTTCCGCAGTCGGGTTCACGCGGGCTATATCTGTTGAGCTCCCCGCCTTCATCTCATGCTTGATCCGCTTCCCCTCGTGAGCTGTGTCTGTTGAGCTCCCCGCCTTTATCTCACGCTTGGTCCGCTTCTTCTCCACTGCGCGTTGGTTGGCCTTCTTGTCCTTCTTCAACTTTTTGGTCTTTTTGTGGTCCTTCTTGTCCCGGTCCTTCTTCTCCGTCTTGTCCCCCTTTTTCTCGGCTTTGCTGCCCTTCGCCCCCTCCGTGGGTGTTGTGGGTTGGCTCTTGTAGCATTGCTTTGCTTGGCTTAGCATCGCCCCCACCTTCCACGGGTGTTTGGCTATATACCAAAGGAGCTCCGCGACGATCTTTGGGTTCCCCTCCTGGACTATGTCGACGAGTTTGTCGGCTTGTCTGCCGGTCTCTCTTCTCGCATTGTGCCTTTGCACATATTGCTCCCACTCCTGAGTGTTGGCCTCGTCGAGGATCTCCCCCGTTATGCGGTCTTTGTATTTCCCCGTTTTCCAGTTCTTCTTGATGTTCTTCCCGATCCACCGGTCCAGCGGGTCTGGTTCGTACAGGAGAGCTCTCCCCTTTTCAGTCTCGAAGCGAACGTAGTCGGAGTAGGGCTTTGTCCTCCCCGCGACTTCGCAAGTCCCTCCCCCTTCGGGTTGGTAGAGGTCATGCTCATCAGCCACGTCCCTCTGCTTCCGTATGTTGCTGGGTGCCGCCGTGCTGGCGATCCCCCCCGTGGCAACACGTTGTTTGTAGCATGAGGCGCCACTGTCGTGGCTTTTGTGGCAAAAAGGTCCTTCAAGGCATGCTCGACATGTCACCCCCATGGCCTTAAGTTTCTCCGCGACTGCACACTGCTCCTGCCAGGTCGTCTTGGTTCTGCCTGGCTTTGCCGATGGGTCTCTCTCTATTCGGCTTCTTCCACCTCTGGGGCTGTCTTTCCCCCCCGGCTTGGATCTTGAAGAGCTCGACATGGATCGTGAGGTGGTAGTAGGACAAGGTCTCCCCGTGGTCCACAGTGCTGAAGTATGCTCCGTCCCCCTACTGGCGGGCCACCCTCCCGGAGGAGGGGCCGCGGTCAGGTTCGGGAGGGTGCGCTGGTAAAGGGGCCTCTTAAGCAAGACGGCAGCGGGCGGAGACTCAAGCACCACTGGGTCAAGGCGAAGGTGGCTCCTCCGGGGTAACAGCCCAGAGTAACCCCCTGCCTCTCCCCCCCGGCACAAGAGGGCGAACAGACCCCCAAGTACAAGGTGTGGCACTTGAGCCAAAATGGCTACGAGAGGTCTCTCTGTCTCTCTCTCTCGCTCTGAATATTTCGCCCTAGCAAATCCGTTCGCTTCAGATTTGAGGCAAGAGGCCGATGCCATGACAGGGCACCGCATAGTCCTCCACAGGGCTCACGGACCACGGATGCTTGCGAAAGCTACAAATCCTTACTCGGCCAGGCCCACACAAACCCTTCCCCTGGGCATTCAACCTATGGGAAGTACATGCGGTCGCCCCTCGGAAAAAGACTGCTGGAAAGCGTGAACCGTGGGTCCGTCCAAAACACCTCCTAGACTACCGGGTCATTGACCCCGAGTCAGATGAAGTCGGATTTTCATGACCACGGCTCTGCACTTCAAGAAGGCACGCCTCCTGTGGGAGGACGGGCTCGGAGGATGACTTCTCCATGGTGGACCTTACAACCACGAAAGCACCACGGACAAATGCTGCAAGTGCACATCACGAGAGCTGCATGGCAACACATGGCTGTGCGATCACACTTGACGCAACAGTCCGTCGAAAAATATCACAGACAGTCCGAGCGAGGACATCAAAGGACCTTGCCCGTTTCTCGGCAGCACCCTCCTTGCCCGGCGCTTGGAGCGAGGAGCCCAGACGGCAGCAGGGGAGGGCACACCAAATGCGCAGCGCGTCCAAACCGATCGACATGTCTGCTGCACTTCGCTGCAGTTGTGCCCAGTTGTGCCCCATCCAAGCCTCCGAGTCTCCGATCTGGTCCATGCGTGCTGCCCCGGCTAGATCGACCGTCTGCAGCTGTGCCCGCCTGGACTGCAGCTGGCCACATCAGCTTGAATTTCAACATGACATGCTCCAGCACACCGGAGCCTCCTCTTCGTGTCTTCCAAAGCACGTCCTGGCACGAGCTGCTCCACCTGGAAAGTCGCCACGGCGTGAGAGCCTCGAGACTCGAGAGAGCCCCTTCTGCCCTTCTGCCATGCACAGGACACGAAGGACACGAAGGAAGGCGTTCGAGGCATCAGCGCGAAGAGGCCGCGTTCATGTTGGTTCTCGCAACGGCCCGCATCTTGTGACCTTGGCAAACGCTGTCGATGATGCGGAAAGCAAGCCCGACTTTCAGGCGAAGTCGCTTGGGCACCGACCGAAGTCCAACAAGCGCAGAACATCGGCGACACTTGACACCACGCTCCAGGAGAGATCTCGGCAGCGCTCACAACAGGAAGTTGATTAGCTAGCCTGCAAACCAACAGGCAACGAAAACTTCGAGCAGCTTTTTACGTCCAGCCTACCTCTCCAAAGCGGGCTATACAATGAACAAGCTCTGCCACTTAGCCGCCCCTGCCATCGCAACAGTTTTGGCAGCAGCGTGAGTGACAGCTGCATCCGCGAGAGACCGAAAATTTGCTAATGATGCGAAAATTGACAATGGGTGAAAACTGCGATGTACAAATTCCACTATGCGTGCTTCTATCCAGATGGCACGTGTACCTAATTTGAGCCTTCAGACGCGTGGTGACTGACCCGTTGCGACGCTTTGTCGTGCTGCTTGCTGCTTGCGTGCTACAGCTTCAGCTCGGATAGAAGAGGCATCGACGAATGACTACAGTACTTGCTAGCTACAGTACCTTCGTGAGCCTTGTCACTACAAACAAGAAATCGATCCGCTCCTTGGCGCGTGTGACCACCGTGCTACCGCAACTCAACCTCGAGCTCCTTGACCAAACCTTAGTCTGCGTGAGCAAGCGGATATGCAACGCACACACTACACTCACTACACCCTGCGTTTCGAGAAGGCTAGATTATGCAGGTTCCAGAAGACACTCTCAAGCTCAGCAATTCAGATGGCAGAGGGCGTTCCAGCACGGTCTCGTGCTTGGCATTGACCTCCTCGTTCGTCAGAGTCCGTGACATGTCTCGCCAGGTCACGCGGAACATCTTGGATCTCTTTCCTGCCCAGGAGTGCAGAGAGCCGGACAGCATTTCTGCACTCACCCTTCATGCCTGTCTTCGGATGCGTGAAGTCGTCCATCAGATCCACCTTCTCAACCTGATCAGTTACGTCGTTCGCAGCTGCAGCTAGATCGCAGTTCTCGGGAGCCTGGTCACCGCCCTCATCGCGAATCATCTCGAACAGGTCATTGTCAGCAAAGCTCTCTGGGATCCACATGCTGATGTCCTCACGACAAGGTTCCAAACGAATCCAAGCAGCGCCGAGGCGGGCGAGCCTGCCTTGAGCACAGGAGGATACTTCGAGAAAGGCTTGAACCTTGTCTTCCTTGGCAAAGGACTCATCTGAGTCTCAGCAGAAGCATTGAAATGCGAATAGAAGCAGACCGAAGTATTCAAACGCTGGCTAAGTCTCTCGGCAAAGGACTCCGGGGCAAACTGCTCAGAGAAACGAGGATCCTCGGACCAGAAGAGACGAATGTCAGGAATGCCGAAGAGCACCTTGGACAGGGAAACTTGACCACTTCCATCTCATTCCTTGCTGTCCCCCACGATAGATGTTGTAACTCTATCTTGCTCATTCTGACAAGGAATAGGAACAAAGATGGAAACAGTAACAACACCTCCCCCGAAGCAATGTGTCAGCAATAACGAGCTCTGGGATTGGGTGTCAAGTTGGTTGGCATCGGAATTGTACTACATCCTGGGTGTGCCACCCCCCCCCCCCGCCGGTTTGCCTCAAGTTGCATCGACCGGGGCAAAGACTGGCATTTTTTCTACCGGTGTATTCGAGGTTCGGGCAACGGAAAGGGTGGACATGAAACTAAGCCGCTGCAATACAGGAATGTGAACAAAAGCATTGGGAAAAACTTGCGCGGCCCAAACTGTGCCTTTACAAGCTCAACGGGCGTTATTATGGCTTGGGCATGGATACTCTGGCACACGGATGCTCTGGCACATGGACATGGTCATGGTTGGGGCAAGGATGCTGCGGCAAACGGATGCTCCGTGGATCGATGTGATTTTAGTTTGGGCCTTGGATGCTGTGGCAAATGGACGTTATAATGCTTTGGGCTTGGATGCTCTCGCAAACGAATGCTCTGGTAAATGGACGTTATTACGGGCATGCATGCTTTGGTAAACGACCTGAGTGGGGCAAAATCCTGTAGCAGCCCATGGTGTGATTCGATAGTGCAACAAGCTATGCCAGCCAAGAGCAATTCAGTTTGTTCTACTGGACTGCACGTTTCGAGAGCCGCTGGAATCCGAATAGACCTGATCGCAACTGCAGGCTACAGGCCACCGCGGAAGAAACACATCAAACCGCGCAGAATGCCAGGTGCATCTGGCACCGACTGCGCATCACTCGAGGCTTACGTCATTTTGTAATTTTCACGATGATGGTTTCTGTGTCTTGGGTACTATCTCTGGTACGGTGTCTTCAATACCATCTCTAGCACCGGCAGCATTATGGCAGTTTCCGAATCAGGGGTACCGTATTTTGGGGTCCTTATAATAAGGATCCTACTATTAAGGGTACTATATCAGGGTCCCCTATTTTGGGAAACTCCCTTATCAAGAATAAAGAAAACCCATCCCGGCTCCATGCTGCCAGGGGCACCATGGCCAAGCGCTCGAGCCCGAGGCCAAAAGCCCAACCGTGGACCTTCGCCGGGTCCAGGCCGGCGTTCCGCAGAACCTGCAGTATGTCTGCATTCTTTTACAGAAATCTATGACAGATAAAGAGAGAGAGAGAGAGAGAGAGAGAGTGAGTGAGAGTGAGAGTAAGAGTGAGAGTGAGAGTGAGAGTGAGAGTGAGAGTGAGAGTGAGAGTGAGAGTGAGAGAGAGAGAGAGAGTGAGAGTGAGAGTGAGAGTGAGAGTGAGAGTGAGAGTGAGAGTGAGAGTGAGAGTGAGAGTGAGAGTGAGAGTGAGAGTGAGAGTGAGAGTGAGAGTGAGAGTGAGAGTGAAAGTGAGAGTGAGAGTGAGAGTGAGAGTGAGAGTGAGAGTGAGAGTGAGAGTGAGAGTGAGAGGGAGGAAGGGAGAGATAGCGTGTGTTCATGTGTGTGTGTGTGCACGTCCGTATCTGTATATGCACCGTAGCATGAAGTCAGGCATGAGGATGTCGTGGAGATCTGCAAGAACGTATACTAGCACATGGGCTACCGCGACACAGTCGGGTGTGGGGAGTCGCGGAAAAATCTCCCGCACAATGTGACCGAAATCCGCAGCCGCGGTAACAGGAACCCCGGGGCCGGCGTTACAGGAACACGACAGGCACGGGAACTGCCGAAGGAAACCAGCACGGTGCGGGTAGTAGTCTTGTATGCTCGCCTGTCGAGGATCGAAAACCAGTCCTCCACCGGCAGGCCTGAAGTTGTTAAGACACAAATCAAGACATCGATGCGTTGGGACACGCACCCACACAGGCGTGCGCTGATACATGGATACTGAGCGTGTATACACAAACAATCTTATGCGTGCTTGTCACATTCACGCAGAAGCTGCCAGACAAGCAAGGAGGCTGATACTCGTAAGAGCATGTGCATTTGCTGTAGTTCCAGAAATTCGAAGTGATGCATGATTGAACTCGTTGCAGATAGTTTCATCTGTCTTCATATGTTCCAATTTGTGGTCAGGAAAGTCAAGTCCCTAAACCCCTAAACTCCAGCGCTGCCAGCACCGATGGCAATGGCTAATGGCAAGAAGTAGTGACGCTGCTTGAAGGCAAATGTCATCAGGGCTAGAAGCTTCCATGTCCACAGCGACCTTCATCGAGAAAATTTGATTCCGCAATTGACAACGTCATGGCTAGCCGAATAAGTAATGGAATGTCTAGCGTTCGACAAGATTGAGAGGTCTGAACCCCTAAAACTCAAGGGTCGAAAAGCGGTCCCTGAGTTTAGGAGCCGACACAACTGTCACGATCGGACAGGAGGATCCGCAGGACGTTGCTTCTGATACTAGGTGCTGCGCTGAACGTGTTGCGGGGACGGCCTCGTTCCTGCTACCAGCTCCGGTTACGGACAACCCGTTCCCGTTGCCGCAAACCCCCTGATACACTCATCACGACGGTCCTACCTGCTACTTTAGTTAACATACAGCAACAACATGTTGATGTACAACGGCAAAGGATATTCTATCCCATGTGGAAAAGCCAACAACCGTCAGCTGTAACTTGCAACATTATGCTGACATGCAAAGCCAATCTTTACATGCGTGTGTGTATATATAGAATGGGACCCACTGCGGGCCCATTTTCACTGGTACCTGCTACAGCCCTAATCTCGCACTTCCGACATCAACATATTAACAGTATGCGCAAACTCCAAAGCTATAGCTACTGTAGCTGCACCCACAAGACATGTGCTGTCAGCCACGACGCTCAAACCAGATACATGTGTTGCAGTTTGGAGGCGGGGCTGTGCCCAGGGGTCTCCCTCCGGCTCTCCGGCTTCCATCCCGGTTCTCGTTTGGGTTCTTCCCCCTTTTCCGTGGACCTCCCCTCACCCCCCAGCTTGAGGGGAGGTCCGCGGAAAAGGCAGGCTCGAGACCGCTGGCCCATACTTTCTGTTGTTGGGGAGATATGCATATACGCAGGCAGAGAGAGAGAGAGAGTGAGAGAGAGAGAGAGAGAAAGGGAAAGAGAGAGAGAGAGAGTGAGAGAGAGAGAGAGAAAAAAACAAATTGTGTATGTGTGTATGTATATATGTGTATACACACATGTGAATACATCATATAGATCTCGTATTATCTAGGTGTGTATGTTTATATATATATATATACATATATATATATATATATATATGTATTTATTTATTTATTTAGGTATACTCACACCTTTATACACATATCTATGAGTCTTCATGGGACATAGTACTCGCTCATGTTTTGCGGATACAAGACTACATGATATTAAGGTAGCAAAAGCGATGCCATAATAGAAATAAGTCGGTTTGAATACTGGATCCCGAAAAACTATAACCCAAATAGGAGTGAGTGGTGCAGAACAAAGGAGCCGAAAGGAACTGGCCGGTTCCTCAGACCCAACCCATCCCAACCCCATTGGAGATCTTGCACCTTTTGTCAACATGGGTACGAAGCACCAAAACCTCAAGGGGTGACCGGATCCCCAGAACCCAAACCCCTGTTTGGACAGGTTGGGTGGCAAACCCAATTCTCAAAAGACGGTGATGCCGGCAAGTCCTCAATCCGAAAACTGACTGGTTGGACATGTGATGGGTGGTAAACATCGGTGCAGCTGAGTACCGTGTCCTGCCCAAGACCCTCTAAGGCGACGATGGGTGGCAAATTCTTAATCCTGTACTGTACACCGTGTTGCGCTCCTAAACCCTAACAGGAGATGTCGGACCCTACACTCAATCAGAAATTTCCGAAGCTGCGAAACCGCAAACCCTAAAAAAGAGGGTCAGAGCCCCCCAACCCGAAACACTGGTTAAGACAAGGTCATGGGGGGTTCCTTCTTCCCCCCAAACACCCATACCCCCGAAAAGCACAGAACCCAATAGCAGATGCCGGACCCTAAACCCAAAGCTCAAGGGGGAGACAAAGGGTGGCAAAGCCGGAATCCTCCGGGGGGTGTCCAGGCCCAAAAACCACTTTACATAAGCTCCGATGACTTCGTCGGTGTTTACGCATCTATTTGGTGATCTAACGGTCGGTAGAGGCGTCCGTGGATTTCGTGCGGAGTGTTGTTCATATACTTGCGATAAGTTCGAAGCACGGCATTGATATGCAAGCATGTGCAAACCTTTGCGACTCCTTGGGATACAAGAACTTTCTGATTGCCGTAATGCCATGTCCTGTGCTTAGTCGATTTTGCGACTGAAACCCCCTGGTAAATGTCAGCAAGTACAGCAGGAATGGGATTGACGTAGGCAAAACCCGACTTCGTGTTGAAAACAAACAAACGTTTAAAAAGCTAATACTCCGAATTGGTGCGACGAAGCAGATCAGCTCAAACAAAAAACTTTTGACGAAGCTCAATGAGCAAACACACAAGAAACAGAACAGCCAGAGGAGACCCGGAACGTAATCAAACATGTCACAAATCAATAACAAAGGAGCCCCATGTTAAACGTAGAGGTAGTTCAGCTGTTTGGCTTTTAGGGGTGTGCTTTGGCTTTTTCATTCCTGTGCCTTTCCGCGATTCTGTTGCTGGTGTCCCACACGGAACTTGTACCGCACAAGGATTCTCCCACTCGTCCTAACTGTGTATGTGTATATATATATATATATATATATATATACGTGATGCTCGACCATATCGTAATTCACGCAGGCAACCGCTGACACCCACACACAGAGACACACACACACCACACACACACACACACACACACATTACTTTACCAACAAACAAACGAACAAACAAACAAGCTACCCTCAAACGAACGAGCGTCGGTCAACACAGGGGGCTACTATATCGGTATTATACCACAAACAGCGTGGCAAAACTATGAGGTTCTCGCGGTGGGTTCCTGTCCGCACACCTCATGCGCGCGATTCTGGCTCTGCATGTTCTATTATGTACAACAAATGCTGCAAATCTCGTCTCTGCGTCCTACTGCTTGCGGCGCAAACTTTTGGGAGACTGCAGTTTCTGCTCTCCTGCTGGTCTCCTGGGTCTGCGGGATCTCCTCCTATCCTGCTGGTCTCTTGGTCTCCTAGTGGTCTCCAGGTGGTGGTCTCTTGGCGGTGTCCTGGTGTCGTGGTAGTACTAGTACTCATGGTAGTGGTAGTGGTAGCTGCAGCGGTAGCTGGTAGTAATAGCTGTAGCAGCAGCAGTAGCAGCGGCAGGAACAGCAGCAGCAGCAGAAGCAGCAGGAGTAGTAGCGGCAGTAGTAGCAGTAGTAGCAGTAGCAGTAGCAATAGGAGTAGAAGTGGTGCTAGTGGTAGTGGTACTGTTAGTCATAGACTCATAGAAGTAGAAGAAGTTCCAGGTGCTGCAGCACGCAAGCGGGTTCAACCGGCGGTTCATATCGGTACTGCAAATCACCTGACGGAACCACAGCTAAATTGACTGCAACGGAACACCAAGTGGATCTATCTTGCCGAATCTGAGCCGCAAACATCGTGGTGAATGACCTCAGAACTTGCCACATTGGCAAACTAAGCAAGTCAGATGCACAGCTCGGGCCGGCTCTGCACCGAGGGCCGAACGCCACATCCCAGCACTTCCATCCAGTCGTCCTGATAGAAGATCTCCAGTTCCAGAGATGGCTCGGTGAAGGGGAAATACTCGTCAAGCCATCGCATCGTATCTTCCCCTGTCTTCAGCTGGAACAGGTGGGCGGCTAAGCCTTCAAGAGTCTTCTTCAAATCCTCCAGGACTTCCTCTCGTGAGACCTTCTCTGCATCAAAGAGCCTCACCCCTTCACACTGATGGAAGGCTGGATAGTGCGATGCATCAATCTCATCTCTCCTGTAGACATCGCCGGCACACAAGAAGGATGTAATCTTGGGATACTGGCTCAAGAACTGGCATTGGTGTGCGGAAGTGTGAGTTCTCAAGACATAGTCTTTGTTCACATAGTACGTGTCTGATGGTGATCGAGATGGGTGCTCTGGTGGAACTCGCAACTTGTCAAAGCAGTCCACTGTGTTCACAACCGGCTTCTCAGTGTCGAAGAACTTGCAGTTCGGATCCTGCTCCGCAAAATAGTCCTGGACCGTTTTCCACAAGATCCCCAGAGGATGCTTGGGGTTCAACAAGAGATCCTTGCCGAGCTTCTCTCGGACACCGGCTGGAACGTTGTATTTCTCGTCTGGTGCCACACCGAGAAGCTCACCTGGAGGAGCCAGAACCGTGGCAGCCATGCGACCAGTCAAAGAAGCCCGCTGCCGGAGTGGCTGATGTCTCAGAGACTTGGCCGACGAGAACGCACGACGCTGCACGCCCGAGCTCGAGCGAACCCCAAGCTTCTGCAATGCTACGAGGGCCGAAGCTGCCACGGCGCCAGCCATGGCTGAGTGGAAAGCTCCACCGGACTGGCCGGCTGCGCGTGCTGTCCGGTCCGTCCGGTCCGACCGTCCGCAAGGAACTTGGATTGAAGTGCCAGCCGGCGTGCTCAGCGTTCCGGGAGCGAGGAATGCGCTGCCCAGATGGCTCATTGCGTTCCCACGCTTGCGCAGTGGATAAACCTACTGACGTCCCTTGAACCAGCTAGGTTTCAGCAATTGCGGGCGAAAGCTAGAGAAGAAACAGGGGATACAAGACAGAGATGCGCACTGACTGACTGCAACTGACTGCACTAGCAGTACTTGGCTCAGTGCTGCCCACGAAGACGCCCACGCGGGGATGCTGCCGGACCTATCCAACACAACTCCACGGAGAGTGGAAATACAGCGGCAGCTCCTACTTGCAACAGCCATTCAGCTTCTCTTAGTTTGAGAAGTGCGGTCCCAAAGCTCTGCTTGAGGGCCTCCAGGGCTGGAGCTTTGGCCTTCCCAGGACGTAGAAGGTCTTGAATGCGCCTTGGCAGAAGTCCAATGCACTGCACTACAGAATGGTGCACATGCCTTCGCCCGAGCCCCTCGCTCGTTGTACAGCTCCAGGTACGAAAACTTAACGATGTGCTTCTGGCAGACAGAAGAACCCAAGATTCAGACTCTCTTGTGGGAAACTTCGCAGTCAAAATGGAAGCCTCACCGCGAGCTCGCAGCACCCTGAATATGCCCTCTGCCAGACGAGGAACAAGACCTTGCTGCTCCTCAAACGAAGACGTCTGGTTTCTGCATCTCATTTTCGAGAATCTGCTGCAACCCGCTCTGAACAGGCGAAAGCGTACGAGTTTTTGCGACTGGACGCTCAAATCGACTTTGTACTCGATCTTCCCACTGCTACTCTACTGCTTCATCCCAGCAGTCCTGTGGACGGCCGCCAAAGATGGTGTGACTCTTTCCGGTGCTCGATGGCCTAGCCCGCGTAAGAGGGCGCACAAGCTACAGCAGAGCCAAGGAGCTCTGGGCGAGCAGCCCACATGCGATGACGGAGCCGTGCAAGCCTCGCAAGGGTTCGATTTTCGGTCCCAGGCCTGTGAAAGCTCCTGGTGTGGCCTTCCACTGCATTCTGCACCAAGTGCTGCCCAAACAAGTTGTAGACAGCAGCCTCTGCAGGAAAGAGGAAGATGTGAAGGGTCCCGGGTCCCTTCCCCCTGCGCCTGCGATCCTCTTCCGGAGAGAACCCAGTCCTCGATCCATGAGCCAGAGCCAAGAGCCGAGAGCCGGGCGCTGCCGGGCCACGGCCACAGTTTCCGGAAGTGCTAAGCTCTGCACGAACTCCCAGGTCCGAGGCCAGCTCCTGGGCTCCAGCTGAAAAGGGCCAGACATTCCAGATACTTCTAGCCATGGCTGCTATGGAATACAGAAAGGCACAGAAAGACTTTCCCTGCACCGTCCTGGACAAGCTCGAGAAGCTTTGGAACATGCTCGATTGAGAGGCTCGCTTCATCCTGGCGAAGGAGCTAACGGAACCCATCGCATCAAAGAACGTCTTAGAAAACTCGGCTCTGTAGCGAGAAAAGGCTCCTGCTTGTTGAAGTTATGGACTCCACCAGCAGAAGCTTCAAAAGCCCGCTTCCCTGCACTTGGACTCACTCGGACGGTCGAGGCTGAACGTCCTTTCGCGGCTTCTCGGCGACCCTTTTTGGCCTAGAGCCAACTGCAGCCACAGTAGCTGTCAGAACGCCGGTAACTTGCGCAAGCTCCAACCCTACCCGTTGAATTTCAGCTTGCACTGCCGGAGATGCAACCGAATCCAGCGAAACCATCTTCTTTAGAGTGGTGACTACGACTGTTTCCAAGTTCCTCTTCCGGCGTGCAAGAATTTAAATTCCTGCTTGAATTCTCTGCTGAGAAGCATAGCAACAAATCTGCATGCTCCGCGAATTACAAAAACAGTACGAATTCAACACAAAGCTATTGCAGCACCCAGATTCTCTAGCACATGAATGTCAATCCAGACTGATGAAGGGCCTCCAGCTCTTGCGATCGAACTTCTCTGGCAACTGCTGCTTCAGCAACGAACTGTTCCAGGATCATCTTCTGTGCAAGCACGTCTGCGTCAAGACTGTTCAGCACACCACGCAGATGCTTCCGAAAGCAGCCAAACTGGATGGCCTCAGCAAAGGTGAGCAAGCTGACAGACAAATGGAGCAACAATCAAACAAAGCGATAATTAGTGTGAGGCCGAGCCGCGTGTCCGTCTGGATTGAGCTTCTCGCGGAACATGGCTCTGTATGCATCCTCCACTTTAACCAGATCTGCACCGTCACCATGGTGAAGTACAGCAATGGTCAGATTGATCTGCACAAGCTCATCTTCCCCGAGTAGTCCGTCACCATCCAAGTCTTGCAACAGGAACAGCTCTCGCGAAAGCCTGTCCAACTCTTCACCGGTTCCATCGTCTGAGATCCAGCGACGCGCCCGCATAGATCGCTTCAAGGAGTCCTCAAGTCTGTGGGTGAAGACCATTTCCTGCTCTGTGTTGCGCAGCTGCCTCGAGTATTGGACTTGCTCGATGCAGGCACGATTGAATGCGTCCAAGTTGTCTGTACACGGTGCTCCACAAGCTGCACCCATCAGCTTCACGACAGCTCAAGGCACTAGACTGAGAGCGAAAGGAGAGAAGTTTCCTTGACTGGAGATTCGCACAAGTCTCAGGGCTTCAAGCAGGTGCAAATCGGCAGCCTCAGAGCGACATAAAGACTGCGTGCGTAAGTCCCTACCGTAGGCGCCTGTGGACCCGGAACAATGCTTGGAAGCTCGCCATTGTTCGCCTACGCAGGACATGCGTCACGTGCAGATTGCCATCCGCGCTCAGTGCCTCGCCTCATCAGATGTGAGTGGACGTATTCTGACGCACACCTACACCAGGCGCCCGCGAGCGGACGCTCTAAGAAGCACTTCTGCGCAGCTGGGGGGAAGGCCCTGATTTGCTCTGAAATTCTCGGCAAATCCTGTGGAGAGCAGTCCGTCGTTGCGCACCACGCAAAATCGACTGGCTCCTGAAAATGGCTGTGCCCATGGGCACTTCCAGGAGACCATGTGGAGGTCAGCTCCTGGAATGATGGGAGCTTCGGCCATGAACACGTCTAGAGTCTAGAAGCACTGCACATGACCATTCTGATGTGCCTTTCTGCCACCAGTGCTTGCCCTTGAATTCCTGAGTTTCACACAAAACACCCCCAGATCTTGATGTGAACGGCAGTTTCCGAGGTGACAGCTTCAAAGTCGAGCCCGAGCCCTTTGCAAATCAGTTCTGTGCAGGAGCTGCCGAGGCGGTGTCAAGCAGCCGACCAGTCTGCAGGCATTTTGCATCGCTGAAGCCGTGCACTTGCTGTACACTATCCAGGGGTGAGCAACACTACACTCCTTCGGATCGAACACGGGGCTGCAGATGCAGCAAAGAGGCACCGGCACCGTGCGTGCCGCTCTCTGCTCTCAGTAGGACTGCATGCATGAATTTCAGTGCCCTCTACAGGATGCTCAGTGCCTTAGAGCGTGCACCTGTCAGTTTCAGGCTCAAACCCTTCGCGAGGCGGCAAATCGCTGGGGTAGTCCGCTGCATCTTGGAGGACTTGCTGCACATTCTCTGCAACGACTGCGGCGAAGGCGTTGAAAGGCAAGTGGTTCGATTGGTCATGGAACGGGCGCTCGCAGGCCACGGCTGCTGCTTCCACTCCCAGGAGCGCGTAGCTGATTAAAAGTACCATCGGTACTGACCACCAGGATTCCATCTGCAGAATCCATGGTAGCCCTAGCAAGTAGAGCGTTAAACAAGTGCGCAGATGTGCCACATATGCAAATGGAAGTGGGGTGTTGTTAATCCTTTCCATAGCACCCATGGCGCCAGTAAGAGTGGATATATGGCCCTCCAGTGTCTGCAGCATCACAGCAGACACTGGTGCAGGATCTGTCAAGTTGCTCCGAGTTGCTTTCAGCACTGCATGCCGCATCCGATCACAGCAGAAGAGTGTCTGCACTGGGGCCTTGCTTAAGGCAAGAATCTGAGAGCTCGATAGGATGCCCTCGACATCATCTAGGCGGGAATGCCCTCGGAGAAAGTTCCTTGTCGCTGCTGGAAATGCTACAACCCATCGACAAATCTCGTCACAAGCCCAAGGATCATGGGCACAAAAGCGGACTGTTTCGCCAGCAAGCACCCGACACGTTTCTATGAGTTTTCCTGCGGCAGCTCGTGCATCATAGAATCTAACAGCCGACCGGTTCAAACGGTACACCAGCAAAAAAGTCAATGGAGTCAGAAGCAGCGCATAGTCCTCTTTGAGAGTTGCTTCTAACTCTGGAAGCTCCCACTGCTGGCCAAAGATCAGATGAGATCCTTTCACGATGGTCGCAGCCATCGCCATCGCAAAGACTGCAAGCATGGGAGGCAAACAATGTAAAACCGGGCGTCCATGCAAAGAAAGAACTGTGCGCAGCCAGCCGCGGCAATCACAGCCAGCAGAGTCCGCCTTGTACGTGACCATTTCTGGAGTTGACGAACCACTGCAACCAGGGAGTCCACACCAGCATTTGCAACAGCCACGCTTACTTGCACTCTTACCGCTGGCATCTGCACGCTGGCGCTGGCGTTGCTGCAGCACGGCCAGTAAATTGGGTGATGGCACAGGAAAGGGCTGCATTCTGAGTCAACCTACAGTAACTAGCGGCTAGCAAGTTGCTCTGTGGACACTTGCTGCGAAGACGGCTCCTAGTTAACTTGTTCTGGTAGAAAGCGCAAAGCGCGTTGAGGTAGTCCGGCACCCCCGAATATGAACTCTCGGCATCATTCGGAGAGATCATGTGTCAACCGGTCATGCGACTGAAAGAATACGAGGCTGTTCAGACCTGCGCACCATCTTGAAGGTAAAGGGACTGCAAACTTAGCCCGGCCTTTGAAAATGAAGTCCACGTCGCTGCACTTTGGCGACCTGACTAAGTGTTGCGAGGCCACTCTGGAAACCCTGGTCTCGGGTGAACGCCTGGCGAAGATCGTGGCATACGCCAGCTTGTCGATGTGGTTGCATCTGGCATGCGCCTGTGCAACGAAACCGCAAGACAAGGACATCGAAATCGTCAGTCGCACATGCCAGAAAAAATACGAATAGCCTCTGCAACGCAAGTGCAGGCCAGGCCTTGTTGGCACACGGCCAATGAAATCCTGTAGCTGCCCGTTCAAGCTAAGCTGTACACCTTGAACTGTAAAAGGGCTGCAGGACAGAGATGCGGTTGGAAGCCTGGCAATCCCGGCACTGCTGCACATGCACTGTCGCTCAGGGTCACTCTTTTGCTAAGCAAACATGAGTGCCCACATCGCAGCAAGGTTTCAGCTCTGTGAATGAGAGCACTACCAGCCCGGAACTGTTTGCAGAACTACAGATACGATACAACCTTGGAACAGCTCAGGGCAAAACACAGCATGCCGGGAAAGGAGTGTTCATTGGCAGCACTTGGCTGCTTCTCCAGGACCATGACTGCCGCAGAACCCACTTCGTCCAGCGAATGTTCACATCAGGATTGCTTTCAGTGTAAGCGCTGCTGTCGTTTCTTCCGTCTCCTCTTTCTTGGTCCTTAGCAATCTGTCATTTAATGGGCAACCAAGACCAAGAAAAGTCCTTTTGGAGTTCAAATCCACTCTGGGCTGCGCACCCCCCGAAGACCCCGAAGAGCCACATCAGAAAGAGCACAATGACCAGAACCTGGCTGCCATGGTGATCGCAACAAGCATGTCACAACTGATGAATCGAGCAGGGACAGCCAGCAACGCGACGAAGATCCACCTGGGACTGGTTTCCGGGCAGGAAGTGAAGAGCAAGGCCCGACCCTTCACTTCATTCCTGCTTTAAAGTTGGGCTCACGACTTTTTGCTCTCTGCTTGTCGGAGATCTCTCTCGTCTTGATGATGCAACGGCGCCTCGGAGGATTGAGCCCGGGCGCTGAGACAGGGCGGATTCACTCCAAGTGTAAGGTCGCGGCGGAAGAGGTGTCCATAACGGAGGGAGTGTTGGTTGAGGACAGCTTGCTGGGGTCCTGTTCCAAGACTGCAGGCAAAAGACAGAGCTCGGCTTCGTGCACAGCTTCCACGGCCTGAAATCCCTCGTACTTTTTGACCAGATCCCTCATCTGGTCTGCCAGCTTCTCATTCAGCGCGTGCTTCTCAGCTTCGTCCAGGTTGGCGTCATCTCTCTCGACCAACCCGCGGAAATCTGGCATGGGTGGCGGGCAGACACATGGCTTATGAACGGACATCAAGGCCAGGAAGACCGTACAGGAGCTGATAAGCTTGTCGCTCGGGGTATGTCAATAGCGACGTGACCTCATGCAAAATGGAGCACCGTAGAGTCAGTTCGGGGCATTATCGGCAAGCGAGGCCGAGGCAACACAGTAAAGAAGTCTAGCCTGCTCGTCCATGAGGCAGCAAACCTGCTTCGGGTCAGAAAGACCAACAACACTTTCATGTTAAGGCATTGCACAGCTGGGGGCCAGGCACTGCCATTATTCCACTGCAGTCTAGTTCTCTGTCCAGCTGCAAGTTTCTGGGATGAAGCCTGGAGGAAGCAAGGTGGCAGCTCCTCCCTCTGCACCGAAGCGCTTCTTCGGCCAGGCCTTGAGAAGCTTCTGGAAAACTTCCTGGGTCTGCTCCTCGCCAGACAGGGCACGACAGCCACGACACCCTGAGTACAGCCCTGGCCTGTTGCTCCACGCTCTCTGGATCTATGTAGTACGCCAGCGTCACGCTATCCTTACCGCAAAGGCGCCACAAAGGCCCCGCCCCCGCCACTCGTGCAGCCGCACGGCCTTGACCCGGCCAACAGCCAGGAATGGCAGCGAACTGCCCCCCCATGTTTGGTTCTGCATGTCGCCCCGTCAATGAGGCGCCACCATCCGTCTTCGAGCCGAGTCATGCGGTCACACAGTTAAAAGAAATCTGTGCTTGAGGCTGAAATAAAGCTCACGCACTGCGTGGAACCTCATCGTCGGACAGTGTTTTTGCAACACCCCTTTGTTGGGGTCTCGGTACGGGATTTGTGGTGCGTCAGTCAATCGCATTTCCAACTCCTCTGCCGCGGGGCTTCGGCCTCAATTCTCCCACACCGATAAAAGCGAGTCTAAGGCCCAAGTTGACTGTGAGAATCAATGCACTTCCTCGCTCTGCACGTTCTATCCTCAAGACTTGCAGGCCTCCCGCTTCCTGCCGCCATGCGATGGCGCCGTCAGCTCACTTCCATGCCACACACACCCCCACACCCCCGGCCGGGACTCTGGCGGAAAGACTCGATCTGAAAGGTGTCGCCTGCACAAGGGCTTGCTCGACTCTGGTAGCGGCCGCAAATCTCCAGCAGCACCTGGCAAAAGTGCGACCACCTGGCCTGTCTGCACGAGTCGGAAAAAGCCGTGGAGCTGTCGCGCTCGGCCCTCGGGGAACTGCCAGACTCTGCCCCATCGCCTCCAGCCCCCGGCAAGCTCTTCTGAGGGTCTCGCCAAGAGGCTGTCCAAGTCTCCTGCACCCAGCCTCAGCAATCCAGCACTCCAGGCTGAAAACGGGCATTGTGCACGAAACCCATCGTAAGCAAGAGGCGTTTGCTGCAGCGCAGGCGGTTGCAGAAGTGCTTCGCAAAATCCTGAAAGTAGTGGTCTGGAAACTTCCTAAAAGACGGCTGAGTCCCATGCCTTCGCCATCGCACAACTGGAGCCACAAACCCGCTCGTCCTGTTCCGGTTCCGGTGACGACACCACTCAGATTTCAGTCGCTTCAACCCTCTCCTGCATCTGGGGCAGCTCGGGCAACGTAGCAGCGGATGACCTGGCAAGCTTTCGGCTGCACCATGCAGCCGAGCAGCCGTGCAGCATGCTGCGCCCTCTCAACATCGTCAAGTGGCCTTGCCCTCCGCACCACTGACGTTGCCTGCGCCAAGCTACGCAACGAAACGTGATGTATCGCTGCGCTGCAACATCTTCCAACAAGCCTGCTTGCTGAGCAGCACCACCAGCCGCAACAGAAGCAGCACTTGCGATCGACCTGCACCCGTGGAAGCTTCTTCAAGTGACAGCTGCGATCGCGCTTTGACGGGCCTTTGAGGGGCGACATCACGGCCGGAGGAGCTCGCGGCAGTCTCCAACGTCTCCACGGCACCTGCCTGAACAAACTCTGCCACTCAACTAATTCGGGTTGGTTCTCGAATGGGAAGCCGGACAAACTAGGAGTTGCGCGACCAAGTGCCGCTCCAGTTGCTCCAGGTCTTGCCTGGAAGGGCCAAGACCTTTCGAAGAGGAGATCGTGCTAGGGGTAATTGCGGCATGTTGAAGCCGACATACAGCATCTGTCATCCCAAACGCATGTGCCCCTGTGCGAAACCCAGCACTCAAGTCCGCATTGGGTCATGAGGGGAAACTTTACGGCCCCAAAAGGCATCAAGTGAGGCATCGGGGGGAGTGGAGGACAAACGGCACACCCCGTCCGTTCGTTTGCGTTTTTCTCCATCGGCTCGGTGCTGACTCTCGGCCAGCTGGAATTCTACCAGCTACCATTACCATGTCACTTGGGCTCCGGAATGTCACAGCCAATCTCAAGCCAGTAGTACTGCTGCGGTGCCGCATGAATACAAAAACTCCGAGTGGATGTAAACTAATACACGTACCACCGATGGACATGTAGCTTCATCGAAAAGTTTATTGTGAAAAGTTGTCTCAAGACTGCCGCATGCACAAAGATAGCTGGCCAGGCAACTTCAGTCCATCACTTCCATGCCACACACACCCCCGGCCGGGACTCTGGCGGAAAGACTCGATCTGAAAGGTGTCGCCTGCACAAGGGCTTGCTCGACTCTGGTAGCGGCCGCAAATCTCCAGCAGCACCTGGCAAAAGTGCGACCACCTGGCCTGTCTGCACGAGTCGGAAAAAGCCGTGGAGCTGTCGCGCTCGGCCCTCGGGGAACTGCCAGGCTCTGCCCCATCGCCTCCAGCCCCCGGCAAGCTCTTCTGAGGGTCTCGCCAAGAGGCTGTCCAAGTCTCCTGCACCCAGCCTCAGCAATCCAGCACTCCAGGCTGAAAACGGGCATTGTGCACGAAACCCATCGTAAGCAAGAGGCGTTTGCTGCAGCGCAGGCGGTTGCAGAAGTGCTTCGCAAAATCCTGAAAGTAGTGGTCTGGAAACTTCCTAAAAGACGGCTGAGTCCCATGCCTTCGCCATCGCACAACTGGAGCCACAAACCCGCTCGTCCTGTTCCGGTTCCGGTGACGACACCACTCAGATTTCAGTCGCTTCAACCCTCTCCTGCATCTGGGGCAGCTCGGGCAACGTAGCAGCGGATGACCTGGCAAGCTTTCGGCTGCACCATGCAGCCGAGCAGCCGTGCAGCATGCTGCGCCCTCTCAACATCGTCAAGTGGCCTTGCCCTCCGCACCACTGACGTTGCCTGCGCAAAGCTACGTAACGAAACGTGATGTATCGCTGCGCTGCAACATCTTCCAACAAGCCTGCTTGCTGAGCAGCACCACCAGCCGCAACAGAAGCAGCACTTGCGATCGACCTGCACCCGTGGAAGCTTCTTCAAGTGACAGCCGCGATCGCGCTTTGACGGGCCTTTGAGGGGCGACATCACGGCCGGAGGAGCTCGCGGCAGTCTCCAACGTCTCCACGGCACCCGCCTGAACTAATCGCGGCCCTGGCCCTGACTGCTACAGCACAGAGACTGGTGCTGCGCCTGCGCCAGCGTACAGAGAGCCTGGCCACATCTTCGCCAAGCATGCAAGGTTATCTCGATTCAAGAGTCTATGCCGTCAGGCAACTTCCACATTTGTAGGCTCGAGGAGCAGCAGGCCCCGTCTCAGCAGAGGTCTGTTGCCCAGAACCAACTTGGATCCGGGAATGGCCTGATGAAAGACTGGCCACCCAACCGCTCATAATACAACCTGTCGGACCGCTGCGCTGCAGACAACAAAGCCTGTCGCAGAGCAGCAATTGGCCGCCGCTCGATACCACAGACAGCCTCGACACGGCAAACAGAACGCTCGGGCATCAATGGAGATAACCGAAGCAAGCTGCAGGCCTGAATGCCATCTGTCAACAGCACCTCACTCACACTTTGCCCTTGGACGGCTCGGAGTCCTGGTTGAATTGAACCCCACCTTCAAAAGCAGCGGTCTTTGTCTGCCACCATGTCTTCGAGAAACTTCCTTGCCCCAATCTGCTCGATAGGTCTGCAGCATCACCATAGACATACGTCAGTCCTCGGCCAGCCCATCCTGAAAGTCTCCCTCGACTGAATCCTTCGGCCATGGCAACTTAAACGAGCACGAATTTCCTGAGGACGTGGGAAACCCCGCCTCCGGGGCCGATGGATTTGCAATGTCCACCTTCTGCAACATCTGCAGGAGGTGCTGGCCCTGAAGTCGGCAAGCAGAATCCACGCGGAAAACCTTCATCTGCCTGGAACCTCAAGCACTTCCTCCCCCATCCTCCTGCTCGATTAGTGCTCGGTTACATGTATCGTGATTTTGTGGCAGCCTGCGCACACATAGAAATGTTTAAGGGAACGAGCTGGCAAGGATGGCTTCATTGTCGGACTCCGCAACTTCCAGCCCACGGGCTCCAAAATTGGATTTTGAAGACTGAGCGTAAAGCCTTAAACTTAGTTTGCATTGCAGATCCACGCAGGATCTCTGAGGCATGGATATGGATGTTCCTCATCCAAACTTTCAAGCTGTTCGGCTCTCCAACTAGAGTAGAGGACATTCACATAGAAGCGCTGCCCCTCGCCCAGCCGTCCCTCCCCACACGCACAACACGCCCCCCCACTCCCATCCATTGCGCCCGAGACTGACCCAGCACGGTTCTTCGCAACGCTCTGGTTTGGGATGCGGGGTCCTCGACTGGTTAGTTACCACAAGTGGCAATCCACCGTTTCGGGGTTTAGGTTTTACGACCCTCCATGAAGGGAAGCCAAGTTGCACCAAAACTCCATCATCATACACTGCTGCCTAATTTGGGGGCCCCAATAGGTAGAAAGTACAGTAGGTTCTGGACCCTGTATTGCCTCACCGTGCGATCTAAACCCCAAGCCCCGATGACGCAGTTTGTGAGCTCCGTGAATGTGGCTCAGTGGTTCATGCATGTTCGGATTGTATACTTTTGTGTATTGTCTGCATCTGTACTGAAACATAAAGACAGAAATCGATGCATGTGTGATACAGATGTACAAACATACTTGTATACTAAAACAAGGTTCATGGCTTCCCACTCAACTGTTGAGAGGCGACCCACCCAGAGGCACCAAAGAGGAAACCCTACATGAACTACCCAACCTGAACATCAAGCACCGAGCACCATAAACCCTGGATGAAAACCTTGAGACCCATGTGCACCACCCTCAGGTCACTACCCCAAGCGCTGGTGGCTGGTGCCATTCCATGACATTCCATGTGTATTTGGGTTTCACATTTGTCACCCTTCGCAACAGCCGCAAGGTTGGTGTTGGGTGTCCAACTCCAGCCCGGTTTAGGATTTGCCGATCATCAGACCGTCTTGCGTTTTCTCTCCATCACTCCCCGCAGGAATGGCTTGTTCATCCTCCGTGCTGTGGGCGGCCTTGGGGCGTTCCTCTCTTGTTCTCAGGCTTCTGGCGAGCTTGCACTGACTTGGAGATCCACACCGGACCACGGCCAGCTCGGACCCCAAAAGCTTCGTGCAGGTGTGGCGTCGAGCCGTTAAGCAGCTGGTGCCCACCAGCCCTCAAGAATACCTGTTCTTTCACTCATGCTGGCTCCAGACTGTCTGAGCGACCCACGACGGCTAGTCAGTGAATCCTTCTACCGTGGGGGATCAATGAAAGACTGTCCCGCCTCAACACGAATGTCATGCAGTCGGTCGAGATGGCGTGGCAACGAACCTGCTCGCAAGAGTCTTCGATGCAGGCACATCTTGCACGCACGACTGACACGCTCTTTTAAAACGAGGGGCCATCGCAGGCATCTCGCAAATCTGCGACAGCGAGACGCTGCAGCAATCTGTCTGCAGCCTGTTCCTTGGCAATCTTGCTGGCATCGTCAACTTCTGCTTTGAGAAGCTACGGAGTGATTGCCGAGCTTGGAGCAACTGACAAGTTGCTACCGATCTGATCTCGTTGTTGATCAAGCCAGGCAGGCCTGCGACAGATCTCGAGATGTGTGCGGTTTCAAAGCTTTAGAAGTGAGTGCAGGTTGCGGCCTGAGCCGCAAGCTGCTAGCCACAGCAACGAGCCTTTCTGCTGCGTCCGAGGCTGACATGAGGCACCCCACGTCCTGTTGGAACCAGCATGAGCAGGCTTCCACCCATGCTGCAGCATGGCTCACGTGACACTGTGCGGCCCTGCCTCCTCTCCAGGAGCACTGCGCCGTGCTCAATTCTATTGGCTGCACAACTTCCCAGCCAAATGCTGCTCAACGGATGTCAGGATCCTAGTGCCCCACCGCCCCAGTTTACAGGTCGATTCGCCCCCGACAACGCGACACGGCCGCATGTTGCGTCATGTCTTGTCTTGTCGCACAGCGGTTCAAGCCTCTTTGGGCTCCGTCGACAAATCTCAGAGTATCCACAAGACCAGGAAGTACAGTAAAGAGAGGCCTGCGCGTTGCATGTGTTCAAGCGGCATGACACGAAAGCCAGGCTCGTGGAGCAATCGTCCTATGGTTGTCCGAGAAGCCTAGTATCGAGAACGAAATGCGCTTCGAGGATGATGGCCTGAGCATGCGGCTGAAGAGGCAAACAGCAAGGGTCAGCTGTCTGCACAAACTCTCAGATCGTCGCGGTTCAAGCAGGGATGCCCCCTGCCAATTGAGACCAAAGATGACCTCGGAGCGAACCCTCTGATGCCACAGCATGATCGAGAGCCAAGGTCCTTGCTGGATAGAAGCCCTGTCCAGCCGTAAAACCGTAAGACCTGTGATCCAAGACCAGCAGAGCTCTGCCCGTGAGCCGAAAACTTCCGAAGCCCCGACTCTGGAGTTCCTCCGTGTTGAAAAGCCTGCAGGGCCAGCACCTCCACAACGAGACGAGAAAGACACCCTTTGGTTCCTCATCTTTGCTTCGGCTCCCCCTTTTCGAGTTCGCGGCACCGATGCGGGCTCAGGCTCTGGGCGTTCGCCAGGCGGCCGTGCAGGCAAATTGGGATACCTCAGGATCGTAGGCTCAGCACAAAGTGTTCAGCAAGGTGTGCACTCGTCGGTTCTGGCACGGCGAGGGGGCACGAGTTGCGCGGATCCGTCTGGCTCCCACGTGTGTAAACAGGAATCACATTCTGGATGGTGACGGAGGCCTCCGCAGAGAAAGCTGCACACTGTTGTGATGGGCTGATGAGCCACTGTACAGGCCTTGCAGATAGGGCAAGCGGAACCGACCGTTTGCATGCCACTCCTGACCAGCTGGCATTGAATCACTGCTCCATGCTTATACCGATTTTCATGCACGAGTACGGCACAACAGCGCTCATGCCGGGATTCAGGTGCCCAGCCCGGCTAGCTTGGGCGGCCTCAAGGCCACAGCTCATCCAGGAAGCATTGAAGTGAGTTCCGTGCCGATGATGATCGTCAGGTGAGCTGCAGGCTGCCGTTGAGTTCAGCCACTGATGAAGACATCCCCAACAGAACAAGTGACCTGAGCCATGAAATGTATTTCACGATGTAGGCCGTAGTCACGAAATGGACCGGGATCGCGTCCACAGCGAGTGACCACCGGCTCCACAGCTTGCTCTAAGCAAATGTTGCCTCAAGAGAAAGGCAGCCATCAACAGTTAAAAGTATGCTCGTACGACGGCAGAACGCATAAGGATCCTGCATTCGAAACTTGCCATAGAAGCACATGCTACATAGCGACAGCGCACATGCTACGTGTTTGTTTCGAGTCGTGGAACGATGTCTGCCTGATGTGCTGTAAAGAAACCGCTAACAGAAGATCTTTTACATGAGCGTCGGCGTCATCATACGAAGCGGACCTTATTCGAGACACGGGCCCGTGTTAACTGCGGGATTGTTGAGCTAGCGGTGTCTTGCAAGAGAGAACTCTTTCGCGATCAAGTCCTTTGAGTCAATGAACTGGAACCGGCCGGCCAATAACAATACCAAATTGCAAAGAGCACGACTTTGGTCGAGGTTGGAAGAGGCGATCATGCAAATGTACGTGTTGCCGATGAGAGAAGCGCTATATGCCTCATACATTCCACCAACACGACGCGTGCTGCCATGAACCTAGTCCCAATCACAAGTGAATTCTAACCACTGGCTCCGTCAACGATATAGGATTCCGCTCGTTGATTGCAGTTCGGAATGAGCCCAACTCATGCGATTCCACGATTGGAGATTGGAGCAGGGCTTCGGCTGCTCGGTTGCAGCCAGAAATGCAACCGAGCAGCTGAAACCTGTTCCAGTCGCTCGTCCACAGTCCTGGTCCTAAATCGCATTGTAGAGGCATTTTTCCGTACGGCTGTCGAGGACGTCCACCCCTAAACTTCCAACCAGCAAGCAAGGCACGCATTGTAATCCACCCAGCTCGAAAAGGTGACGTCTACTCAGCACTGAAATGAAACACTAGTGAAGTTCCTGCTGGAGGGCATAATGCACGTGCCACCGCTGAGGTCTATGTACAGAACGTGATGGCGGCAGCTCCGGCGGCCTTCAAATTTGAAGCTGTCTCTCTAGCCCTCGTTCCAGGGTCTGAGAAGGGTTCGCTGATCTGCATTTTGCACGCCGGCTCACCTTCCTGCAGTGCTTGCCGAGAGCGTTGAAAGCCACGCCGTGTACGTACAAGACCGGGCGCAGGGTCCTCGCCAAAGCTAGCTCTCCGCAGCATCACCGGCCATCGCCGCATCCTCAACACAGGCATTGCGCCGAGTCGTTGGGAACACTGCTTTCATGAAGCAAAGTGGCTGTACTTCCAGAACGCTGCAAGATCCGAAGAAAGCCTCACGGGTGTGTGCGGCCTCGTCGCAAAGCGCGTCGGCAGCGGCCCAGCTTTCCTGCAGACTCTTATTCATGATGCTCCGCGTGCAGCAAACCTTGAAGCAACGGCTGCTTCTACAGGGGAACCTCCACGATCTCGGTCACTCTGCGATTGTACTCTCGCCGGTTCTCAGACCTTGCAGTGAAGAAGCTTTCCCATCCCCGCTCCTTGCTGTGTTCTCTCGCAGCCTCTCATTCTTCCTCTCTCTCCCTCTCTGGTCTCCGAGGAGTTGGCCAAAGCTTCGCAGCTTCGCTATTCGCCGGCGAGCTCGGATTTGGATCCGTCAGCAGCGACTCGCAAGGCCGCAGCATCCAGTCTTTATATTGGCGTCTTCGTCTGATGTTGGCAGCCGGATTAAAGCTCTATCTCGTGCGCAGCCGACAAAGTGCCGGGAGCACGCTTTGGGAGGCGAACACGAGGCGGGAAGACAACCCAGACAATGCAGACGCGTGAATTCGCACGGCACCATGGAGGGAGCACGATATCGAGCTTCGTCCATCTAAACTATTCTAAACTCAAAAACCATTAGCGGCAGGATTTCGAGACCCGTGCTGGGAGCCACTGCGAACGACTTCAAGGCCACAATGAGCACTTGACTGGCAGGAGCACGAGTTTCGCGGAGAAAAGAAAAACAAGAAAGCTCGCGGCATTGTGGTTCTTGTGGGAACGCGATTCATCATGTTCGGAAGCACCAAAGTATTGGATTGGTGGACAGGCACGCTTCGCGGTCAAAATAACTAAATCCTTCTGCCCGTCGTGTTTCCACACTGTTCGAGGAAAACACGGAGGTAAGCCACGCATCAAAAAGCAGGTGGTTCACTGACATGTTAATTTCATGCTGCCTGCTTCACCAAGGGTTTGCAGGTTTCATGAGCAGGAGCCCCCATGCACCCACCATGCAGTCCTGACACTTACCCTGGCAGTTTCGACCCCCGTCCCGGAAGGGCCTGAACGGAAGTCAGAATCGCTGAGATGTCGTAGATTGGGCTCCACTGGTTCTGCGAGCAGCCAGACATGCACAAACAAACCTCACGCCACCAGCTGATATACTGCGAGGACTCGTCAATTTTTTGGCAAGGCACTCAGCTTGTGTTTTTTGTCAAGCCTCAGGAGGCTGCCTACAGTCGTGAGACTGAATCTCTCTACGTTCTACATCCTTCCTTCCATCTTCTGGAAACTGAAACGGGACGAGGCCGATCACCTAACTACGTTGACGAGGTGCACCTCAGCAAGATCTGCCAAACCGACTCCGGAATCATCAAGTCGGCGCAACACAGTGACGCAACGATGCACTCCTTTTGCTGCAGAGTACTCTGGCAACGGACCGCAAGCAACACGGCAACCTATGTACATTCGGAAGGCATTCCGACACCCCGCTTCTCCGTCTCGCTCTACGACCACCTCCTTGGCCGGTCGGTGTGTTCTGCCACATTCTGCCACCACCTCCATGCAACACCGCTCACGAGGACCTTCTCCTCGAAGCGAAGCCAAATTGCTGCAAGCCGCCCTTCAGGAGATGTCGGCAGGAGGCTGTGGAGAGAACATGTCGTCGCGCGTGGCATCGCGTCGTGGGCCACTCGATGATTGGTGCGATGTTGAAGTCACCGGCTAGTCGGCCAGAACCTTTCCACACTGCGCTCTGCGATGCTCTGCGATGCTCCGCATCTGAGGGCTCCGCCCGAAGCCCCTCAAAGACCGCTCCTGCGGCCTCGGCAAAGAGCGGAGGCGCCCGCTCCCGCCAAGGAGCCGCATCCGGGCCGGGGCCCCGGGCCTGGCTTTGCCCTCCACCGGGGCCTGTTTGAAGACCTCCTCGTTGCGCATGGAGTCCTCGGCGGAGACGGCGGCCCCTTTCTTCGAGGCGCTCAAGTCTACTGAGATGGCTGCGAAGAGCTTCTTCGAGTTTATGAACTCCGTGGTCATGATCAGAAACCTGGCCAGACAAGGACAGAAAACCAGCACCCGAACACAGCTTTGCGCGTTTCTGCCTCCGTCGGCCATCCTCCAGCTCAGCAAGACGCCGGAGCGCTGCGATTTCCCCGGAGGTTACACCACCTGAGCGGCTGAGCACGCCGTCTGCCGCGAGCCCCCTACTCCCCTGCAGATTGAAATTTAGGAAAATCACCGGGAGACTCGAGCAGGAAAACGATTCGCGTGCTGGAAAGACCGATCTGCACACTGAAAAATGATGCAGACGCACCCCGCGGATTCGCTCATGGATTCGCGCAAGCGCTGCCAAACGGACCATTCGCGAACGGGTGCAGAGGATTCATGAACCGAGGACTGGCACGCCTGAAAGCGCCAGATTCGTGGATTTGCACACTCGCATGCCCCAACGATTCGTGCATGAACGCGGCAGATTCGCAGACAGAATTTGAGATTCGCGTATCGTGAACGAACGAACGACCGACCGACGGACGGGCGATGAGCCTCGACACCGGGCGAAGAGGTTCCGCGGGAAACCCTGAAACCCTGTGAAGAAAAGGAAAAATCGATGCGAAGGCCTTCAACCCTCAAGTGGCATAGGGGATAGGCACCCAACAGTAGGAGGACAGGCAAGCTCAAAAATCTGATCAGGAGGAGGGTAAGCATCTCAACCTTACAAGAGCAGGCCCCCTCGTGCCAACAAACCCAAACCGCAGAAGTAGATGAAGCTGCACAAGAGATGGAGGGTACTCAACTGTACAGCTGTTGGAACACCACTCAGGACTCAGGTTGGAAGGTGCATTTCCTCAGGATGTTTGCTGCATTCTAATTCCGAGTGAGGGGTGTCTGGACACTGCTCAAAAGTGCAGGTTTCGTCACACTCAGAACAGAGCGCAAGGTGAAAGGGGGAAAAATGTTCTGAAATTCCCAAACCCTAGAAGGAGAAGTTAGTAAGCCAAGCATAGCCCGTAAGAGGATATCTGCTCAAACCCCAAGAGATTTTGCTGGGGAGTCGACCCTGAACCCTCAAAGGAGATGCTGGTGATCAAATCCCATAACGCGAAAGGATATGTGGCAGACTAAAACCATTAAAAAAACAAAGTCATGCTGTGGAGCCAAACCCTAATACTCAAAAGGAGCCAACCCCAAACCAAAACAGGATATGGCAAGCCTGAACGAAATCCTGAGGAACAAACCCTAAACCCCAAAAAGGAGATATTGGTGAGCAAACCACACCCTAAAGCCCTAAAGGGGACTGACTTCACTACAGTCGCAGCATCAAGTTGATCAGCAGCAGAGTGTAACTGAAACCTGATCTCTCTCACGACGATGACCCAGCTGACGGTTCCTCTTGACGGGCGAAGCATCCGACAATGCGGGACGTCTGCATCTTTGTGGCAACTTGTCGGACCCTGCAGCTGCATATCTGTCAAAGCCGACATGGGTTAGGTGCAAGGGCGAGTCTGGGGGCTGAGGCTTTGGGGGCTGCTGGGCCGGGGAGCAGGGGCACGGCTCCTGCTGTCGGAACGTTAGATGCAAGAGCAGAGTTTGCCCTCCCCCTCCTGTCTTGAAACCTGCAAGACCCCCTGAAGAGAACATGGAGTGACGGAGTGTACTCCAATTCAAGAGTGTAAGAGCCGGCCCCCGAACCCAACAATCTGAGCCCTGCAAGTACACAAGCACTCCAACCCTGAACAGTGGGATGCAGGGTAGGCAACTCAACTGTATAGGAAGAGGCCCCCCAAACCCACGACGCGAAAACCAGAACACACCGGTGCATGCAAACTCACCTGAACCCTGATGATGAAAGGCAGAAACGTGAACAGGACTTGGAGTGTCGGAGGGTCGGCAACTCAACAATGTGAAAGGAAGCCCCCGCACCCGAAGTCCTAAGCGAAACCCCAGCAGTGGAGGAACCTGCACAGGAGACAGAGGGGAGGCACTCAACAGTATACGAGGACGTGAGCTAAACCCTAAATTAAATGGTACAAAAGGAGGCCCCCGAACCCGCATGCAAAGAACCTAAACCCTAAGAGTCAATAATCGGGCCGCTTGAATCGGCTGCGTGCTTCAATCGCCAGTGCTGGAAATAAGGGTGAACAGCCTGATATCTACTGACGATTGGAACATGTCGCTCATGGACGCTCTACTATCAGTTCGAAGCTTTTCCTTTCATGGATTTCATAAGTGACAAATCGTGAGAGAGAAAACATGCAAAGATCTCTCGTCACCCTTGCCAAGGAGAATACAAAAAGGCAGAGACCCCTGAGACTCTGAGACTCTAGCCGAGAAAACACACCAGCACGATCGAGGTCTTGTTACCGTCTTGCCTGCAGACAGATTCGGAAAATGTCGCAGCGCCAGGCAGTCCAAGCATGAAGTGTGCAACTGCAAAATGGGGCTCCGACTCTTTCGCCGAATTCGAGTCTGGTTGCTGAAGTTCCTGCTATTCAGAAGGCAGGAACCCTGTACTGTAAGAAGATCAAACCCCACCTGTGCAGGACCATGCAGCAAGCTCAAGGCCTCAAAAGATCTGCAAATTGGACCATGGGAGCCTGCTGTTGTGTCAGGTGGTCTGGGCTCTGGGCATCTCGGAGACTCATCCAACCTTTTGGCTGGCTCCTGAGCCCGTCTTGCAGAAAACTGCGCTGCTAAACGAGATAGCAGAGCTAGCAGAGCAGCTAAAGTAGCAGAACAGCAGAGCAGGGCGCATCCCGGCCTGGCCTTGTCATCTGAACCAGGCGTACACTCAAGGGAGCATAGCCTCGTGTTCGGCTCAAGCATGTCCACAGACCCTTCCACAAGGCTAAGGGCCCCTGGCCACTGTAGGCATAGCTGATATCCTGGTCGGCGGCACCGTCCTGAGTCTGCTCGAGATTTGATCGGTGTTTATTGAACGGGACAAGATGCAGGACATCCCTGCCTCCACAAACAGATTGAATTGCCGCTTGATGGTACTCCTGGGTTCGCGAAACAGGCGAGAATGAAATCTATCCTGTCGCTGTCGCAGAAGACAAATTCACGCGTGTCAGGACCATGCGAGCACACTACAGCTGCCCTCCGGTTCGAGCCACGCGCGTGAAACGGTGAGGGCCTCTAGACTCTTTAGACTCTACACCGGCAAGTAATCCGGCAAATGGAAACAGCAACGAACGAGAAGGTCGTGCGGCTCCGACGCCGTGAATGATGGCAAAAACAGGCAAGATGCTTCACGAGTTTATTCCGAGAGCAGTTAGACGACTCGCCCCTGAAGAGCCTTACACCTCCAACGCTTCGGGTGCCATGCCGCGGTTCCGACACATCAGAGTACCGCTGAAAAGTGCAAACGTGAGGTCCAACAGCCTAGCACATGTGAGGCGTGAAGCTCGTAGCCTGACGCGCTGCGACG